GAGTAGCTGGGATTATAGGCACGCACCACCATGCCCAGCTAATGTTTTGTATTTTTAGTAGAGACGGGGTTTCACCATGTTGACCAGGATGGTCTCGATCTCTTGACCTCGTGATCCATCCGCCTGGGCCTCCCAAAGTGCTGGGATTACAGGCTTGAGCCACCGCGCCTGGCCTGCCACCCAGCTTTATTCAGTTATATGCCTGTTTCTAACCAGATATATGATTTAATCATCAATAAGTTATATTGGGCATAAAGTATTTGTAGAGTTCTGCACATAGATATTTCCTAGGCTCCAAGGATTATTCAGAACACTCTGTGTCTGCTTCTGAAATAATTTGTCATGTTTCTTTTGTTGTTTGTTTTTTTGTGTGTGGATTTCTGTTGTTGTTGTCAAGACAGTGTCTCATTCTGTTGCCCAGGCTGGAGTGCAGTGGCACAGTCATAGCTCACTGTAGCCTCAACCTCCTGGGCTCAATCAGTCCTCCTGCCTCAGCCTCCTTAGTAGCTGGGACTACAGGAGCACACCTCCATGCTTGGGTAATTTCTGTATTTTTTTTTTTGTAGAGACAGGGTTTTGCCATGTCGCCCAGGCTGGTCACAAACTCTTGAGTTCAAGTAATCCACCCACCTCAGCCTCCTAAAGTGCTAGGATTGCAGGTGTGAGCCACCATGCCTGGCCTAGTTTTGTTTTTAAAGATTAATACTCTTGCTTAATTTCTAGTTTATCATCTGAAAGAGGGGTGGTCAGTTTGTGTTGTAGGGTCTTTTAATATCTTCTTTCTTGTTCTCAGATTGTAGCACCCCCATAAGAACTCCTTTTGTAGACTCTGGTATGTTACCTATTCACAGGTCCTCTTCCTGACTATACCCCTCCAGAAATTTTCTCTTTTGAAAGTACTACTGGATTTACATTGTATGGGATGCTGTACAAGCCTCATGATCTACAGCCTGGAAAGAAATACCCAACTGTGTTGTTCATATATGGTGGTCCTCAGGTGGGCGCATATTTTTATATGTATATACATACACTCATATGCATATGTATTTTAGATTATTTGTTTTTTAAATGTCAGTTGTTTAGATTAAAATTTGAGCACTGTTGGCCATTCACTCTTTATGACTCTGGCTTATATTCTAATTAGCCAGTTTAGGGGGTCAGGAAACTGGTTTTTGTTAGATGGCTAATTTATAAATCACTAAATCAATT